TACCGACCCAGGACCACTTCATTCGGTCACTCTTTATCATACCGAGCTCGGCCGCTGCCTCGACGGCACCGGGAGGAGCATTGTTCAGGTCCACTTCCGGAGAATGTGCGAACTGACTCTCGGCATCTCGGTCTTTCCTTCGGTCATGATTCCAAATTCGTTTTCGCCGTTTGTGCTTCTCCTTAGGAACCACTTTTTGGTGTCTCATGGGATCTCGCTCGTCCTCGCCTATGAGTCCGAGATACCAAGCCCATTCTTCGAAAGTATACCGTCGAGGCTCAGGCTCTCTAAGGTGCTGGCTCACAAGCTGAATCTCTTTCGAAAGCAGTAGATGTAGGTCTGTGCCAGTAGGAAGATCGTCAAGGTGGTCGCGAACTTGTGACAAGGACGGCCTGCCCACAGGGATTGCAGCGGGCTCGCAAAACTTGTGTTTGCCTTGGCGATCGACACCTTCCTCTCTATGTGCGTGAGAAGCTGAGCCAGAGCTTTCACGAGAATGGTTCTTCTGCTTTGTGGTATCATCAACATCTCCAAGATTGAAGCCCGCAATGCTCGCTGACCGTTTGACTTGCTTCTTCTGCAGTTCACGCTCGCGAATGGCGCTAGTTGCATTGCGGAATACTCGTCCGAAAGACAAACGGTTAGCAACATATTTGGCGTTTCCAGTAAAACCCTCCTCGCCAGGTAGTATTGTGATAGTTCCGAGGCGGATGGTTGCATCGCGGAAAAACTTGACCACTGTGTCACCAGCATTGGAAATAAGAACCGTCATTGTGGGTAAAGCCAAGAGCGACCAAAAGACGAAGAAGGCCTTGCCGGCGTTTGACTGAGGTGTAGCGTCACCGTAACCAATTGTGGTCAGAGACTCAAAACAGAAATAAAAGGAGTCGAAATAGGTCCACTGCTGATAGGGCCTCTCGCAACGCATAAAAATAACAGCCCCAAGGAGCCAGAGTAGGACCCAGACGCTGCCAGAAATAATCATGGCCAACCATTTTCGACGAATAGCCGCCTGTTGCTGAATTTTTCGCATCAACAGAAATTCTGTTCGACGGCGATCGAACTCATTCTGCGGTAAGCTGGAATCGGAGGTTTGAGTACCTCCGGTGAAACCAACGTCATGATGGATCGGGATCGGGCTCAAAATATCGTCATTACCAGTCTTGGCCATGGTACGAATGATTCTTCGACGATTTTTTTCTTCCATGCGTGCATCCAGCCGGCGTTGCCCTCGTTCCAAAATCATGCTTCGAATTGAGCTGATGACGAGACCAAGACTGACGACTCCAATGAAAGCATAGGGAAGTAGTAAAGCTTTCGAAAGGTTTGTGGTGGGTACAAAATCACCAAAGCCAACAGTGAACAAGGTCACGTTGGCCCAATACACGGCATCCAAGTACTTCCAGTCTTGAATATGTGAGAACACGAGCGCTCCGAGTAGGAGATATGACAGAAACAGTATCGTCTGGAGCATAAGTGTCCGCTGGCTTGGGGTGAGATTAAAGTCTTTGGCGTAGTGTCCCGAGGAAGCTCCCCAGAAGGTGACAGCCATCAAAGATGCGTCAACAAAGTAGAGAATGGCAGCCCAAATGCCATAGTAGAATGCTTGCGACCAGATATAGTCTTGTGGTGGATCGAGACCATCAAGTAATGGTCCAGCAGCGGTCGCGGTGAGTGACACTAAACATATGGCGGAGATGTACCTAGAACTGAGTTAGTTTCGGCTTTTGCAAAAGGTTGACGATGTCTGGTCCTTACCAGCCGATAATAGTGATTGGCTGAGCAATACTAAAGCGAACTCTCTTAGTCATATTCAACAAAAGAAAAGCATTTGAGACAAGAGCGACGGCCAGCTGTATGGCGTTGACAATTGTAAGCCTGCGAGCGTACAAAGCGTTAGTTGAGTGATGCGTGCTGAACTCGACAAAGGCAGGAGACTTCTATAAGATCGACGCACCAAGCAGGGTCCTCTACGAATGTAGCCTCGTCGATACTCTTCCCAGGTGTGATGTGTTGTAGCCATTGCGATCCCAAGGCGCAGATACTGAACGCCGAGGCTACAGGGCCAAGGGTCGCAGCGATCATGGGGAAGGCAGAGGAGGCAAACCACCACCGGCTTTTACGCATCATGTCAGTCATTATACGGTACACGTGAAGTAGACAGAGAAGGCAGTTCGAGCTGAAAAGGATGTTTCTACCTCGGAACCAAATGGGCCGTATCATTTTGGAAACGCATTTCTCGCGGTCGCTTTTTGTTGCCCTGTGAGGAGGTGGTATTCTCAATGTGGTTCTCCGCCGCATTGGCGTTCCTCTCGATGGTCTCTTTATGCTGGCCGTCGTCCATGACGCCTGGAGCTTGATACAACCTCCCGGGCTCAATAAGATCGATCGTGGGCACAGTTGTGAGTGTTGTGGGTGTCAGGATAGTCGAGTTTTTTTTTAGTTTTTAGGTTTTTTATGACCCAGGGGATTGGGTTCTTTTTTTCTTTTCTTTTTTTTTTTTTGTAACACGACAGATGTAAAACAATGGGTCTGTGACAGTAAGCTCAAAAATAGACTAAGGAGGCGGTTTGAAACTTTCCAACTCGCGTGTCGGTAGTTCTGGATGCTAGGTACCGCACCTCAGGTATATAGGAGGTAGGCATGCGGATCGTAGATACCAGTAAAATGCTGGATAGCTCACAGGATGAAGGCTTGAAAAAGAAAGAAAAGCCAGTGGATTGCGATACCAAGGAGTGGCGTGGATGGAATAATCAAGGACGTTGGTGGAGGAATCGAGACCGCGATAGCCAGGCGAGGCGAGACATTCTGAAGTTGTCGGGTCTGGTCTGGGCTCAGGGCGTTCCCGCCGTCTCTCAGTGGTGGAAATGGCCCGAGGGGGCAGCCTCAGCAGGCTCATTAGCCTCGTTAGTCTCGTTACATACTTTCCCTTACGGTCTCCTTAGTCCCAGAACATTACGCCAAAGGTCTGGAAGGCTACGGACAATAACATTACGCGGGAGTCTCGATGCTCTCGAGTGCTCTCATGATTCCGCGGCCAGGGAAGGAGCCATGACGTCGCCCTCCTAGTCAGTCCTGCCTGGGTTTGCCATGGGTGCTGGCCGGTGGTTGGCCAAGCAGGCACTGTGACTGGGCAGCCCCTGCCAGGCCTCCTGGGCTCCAGGAGCGGTCACCTGGCGACTCGGGCGCCGGTGTCTCGGATCTTGACCACGCTTGGGGGCCCCGCTTTTGCTGTCTGCTAGTTCCTCACGATTGGATCAGACGTGGGTGCAATGAGCCGAGCCACCCACGAATCCACGATTCACGATATCCTCCAGAGTCCAGAGTCCGTCAAAATCCCCCGACGCCGCGACCTTCGCGACCACTCCGTACCGCAGTTGAGTGCAACGGACTGCAACATTGATCAGGGCCTGGGACCGTACGTCACTGTCACTATCTTCTTCAGTAAGTTTGTCCAGCCTGATGGTTTTGCTTGGAGGCCAATGCTGACATCGGTCAACCACTATTCGTGTTCTTGTAGACGTTCCATGTCCTCCGTATTCACGTCCTCTCTGCAGACGCACGCAACAATGCGCTGTAGCGGCATTTTTGTTCTGCCATGAATCCCTGGTACCAAACTTTTCGACCATGTTGTCGCCTCCTGTTACGAGAAACACGCAACAGACCATTTAGCACTGCCGTATCAGAGCGCGTTGAGGTGCGATGCGCTTCCGCCGGCCATGTAGCCATTGAGTAAGCAAAGCTGCGGTCCATCAAATCATTTGAGAAGCCTGTTTACTGAGACTCAGAGTGACTCAGCTTGTTCAACACGCGTGATGCGTCGTCTCTGAATGATCCTCTGGTGGTTCATCTGCCTCCTTTTCCCGGTCAAAACAACATCCCTCAGCTACCATCCTTTCTCCGCGACCTACCTGTTGCGAGCATCAACTACCGGTGGAGTCCGTATTCGAAGCCCTCATCAAACACCGACGTTTCATATCCGCTGCACTGGCCGACCCCACTCCATGACACTTCATTCGCTATGGCGTGGTTGCTTAAGCACCTATCGCCTGGAAACAAGCGCCGCGATATCTATGTCTACGGGTCGTACCTTGGAGCCAGCTTGGCCACTTCTTTGGCACTTACGGAGACAAAACCTAACGCGAGATTTGGCGTACGTGGGTTGATAGCATACAATGGAATTTACAACTGGACCATGTTCCTCCCCGACCACCAAATCAACAAGGCATCGAAGAGTATGAAGGCGTCAAGTCCTCCGCCCGGACCTGTCAAAGACTCTCATCTCTACAAAATACACCAGAATGTGCCTGCTCTTTTTCAAACAGCCACAAATCTATTCGATCCGTTCGCAAGCCCGAGCCTGTTTTTTCATAGCCCGAGTTTGGACGTGCCGGAGTCGTTCTCCAAGACGGCGGACGATGAAATGGAAGAGTCCAAGCCAAAGCCCACCAAGGCTCCACGCAAGTCGCACCTTGTGTTTCCGCCAAAATATACCCTCTTAAAGATTCCACAAACCTTGATAGTGTACGAGTCAGTGCCACCTCCTGCATCTGTTAAAGTTGCTGGCAAGTCCAAGGCAAAAACAACAAGAAGACGCACGAAAACAAGTCACACCTTCGAAAGTCAAGCGGACGAGCTTCTTGGAATGATGCGGAGAAGCGTTGTTGAGGTGGAAATGAAGCAGCGTGTCACGTTCGACCAAGATGTTGACAGCTCGGCGTCAGAAGCCATAGACAGGGTGCAAATGCATGATGCAGGGCCAGAGACAGGAAGCATAGAACCAAGTGACGCGGGATGTGAGGTGATATCATCTTGGATAGAAAATACATTCTAGAACTTGTGATGTGAAAGAAATTTCAGACTTGGCGCAAAAGCTGCAACGGGGACTATGTATCACCAATTGAATATGTATCACCAATTGAATGAGGTGAAAGGTCTCTGCGCTAAGGTCAGGCTTTCGTGCTTCATATAGCATATTTGTTGGGTAATCTTTCAACAGCGGCCAAATGGTCTAGTGGTATGATTCTTGCTTTGGGTTCAACTCAATTGCAAGAGGTCCCGTGTTCAATCCACGGTTTGGCCCGCCTCATTTACTTTTTTCCACGTCCAATAGCGCGGCCCACTCTTTTTTTAGTTCTTTTTTCTTGTTGATCTCACAGGGTTCATTCATTTCACGAATGATGTCCTCCTCTTGCTTCGCCTACCCGTGACCCAATTTTCATTATCCTAACACGCCTCTCACACTGCCTACTTGTATCGATCAACCACTCTAGGTGCATTCTGGATGCGCCGTTACGAGATCATGTTCAATCATGGGGAACCTCGGCAATGCATAAGCACCTACCGGCGAATTCATCGCAGTACTATGCGGCCGCATGCGGATAAAGCTGTGTTATTATGCTGCCATTTTTGCACGTTCATGCATCTTGTCGTTGGTTGTTTGATCGTGTTGATTTACAGACTCATCATCTCGATGCATTTGGCAGCCTGGCAACTGTCAATCACCTGCCGTTTGGCTGAGCCCCACCTCCAACACGTCCAACAACAATAGACCCGTGTTATTGGCGGCTTGGGTGCCGTTGTCGAAACGTGGGCCCACGTCCAAAGTCCAAATGTACCAAGTACCGAATACAGGATCCCTCTCCGAATCATCACTCCAGTCATCTTAATCTTAATCGCGGTCAACAAGCCTGAAGCGTGGCCGGCCTTCTTTCTTCACGCGCGCAACGCGTGTCCCGCGCATGGCAATAAAACCCCACTGCACTTGCAGAGCACACGGGTGTCAAAGTTGACGGGGGTCAACTCTTTTTAAATTAGCCAAAATACCGTGTAATAAAGGGAACGTCTTTGACAAGCACCTGCAGCCAACAAAGATGCATCAGGTAATCAGGTACAAGCGGAGGCCAGTCGCAACTTGAAGCTCGAGCAAAGTGGCGGCTAATAATAAGCCGCAACGGCTGGCCACTTTGGTCATGCCATGCTCAACAAGCCGGCCGTCGAGCTTTCCACCCCCCCAAAACTCACACGCACGCGAGCTTGTGTTGCTGGTTGGCAGTGGTGTGACCTGTGACCTGTGACCTGGGCCCCTCCTTCTTGATTGCTTGCTTGCTTGCTTGTTTGCTGGCTGGCTGGCTGCCCTCCTCTTCCGTCTCCCTGCTCCCTTGTTCGCTTTTAAACTTTTTTCTTCCCTTTCCTTCTTCTCTGCCCTCTCTTGACAGCCCGTGTATCCGTTTTTAAGAAGTCTTCTCTTCGTCCAGCACACCCAAGCATCATTTTACTTCAAGCTTATTTGCTTGTTCTATATCTCACGCAAGGTACTTACTGATATATCATCCTTGAAGGGCCCCCACCCGGAGCTTTTGTACTGCAGTCTCGGCTCGAAGCTCGAAGCTGCTGAGAAATTTGATTTTCGATTCCACGTATCAGTATCATGTTCATATATGCTGACCGTTCTTACACAAAGAGAGCCACCCGTATTCTATCACCAGAACTGCCGGTCATTGATTTTTTTATTACTCGTCTCATCTTTTTTTTATTCAAGATGCCTGGCATTCGTACGTCTTTCCGTTCATACTAAGTAGATCAAAAAAAGCACAAGTACTCCACAAGCACGCGATTTGCTACTCTCGGGCCTTTGATCTAACATGGTGGATTATTTGCCGGCAGCTCCCCACGCTCTCGAAAACATCAAGGCAAAGCTTAAGGCTGTCTTCAAAAAGAAGAGTGACTCGAAGCCCACTGAAACTGCTGCCGACAGCAAGGCCGATACGACAAAGACGACTGAAGCGGCTGCACCCGCCGCGGCTCCTGCTGCAGCTGCGGCTACGACGACCGCTCCCACTAGCGGAGCAACAGAGACAAAGCCAGACGCACCAGCTCCTGCAGGTAAGTATCACGATGGGTCCCATGGTCTTCACTTTTTTTCTTCTGCATTTGCATGTTTACGGTATTTATTGATCTAATGTCGTGTCTAGCGGAAGCTGGGCCTGCTACAGAATCTTCAAAAGAAGCTGTCAAGCCTGAGGCCCCGGTTGCCGAATCCGGAGCTTCCAAGGCCGATGCTGCTGTTCCAGGTGAGTCTTTTTGAAAGGCGGCATATTTATAGCCCAAGCCGAAAGTATACTCACAACTTCCTAAGCTCCTGTGGCTGCTGCCGCACCCGTTCAGACTGAGCCTGCCAACACGGAAGCACCAGCGGCTACCACTTCTGCCACAACTCCAGCTCAACCCGCAGCTTGAAAGCTAGTACGGTTCGGCAAAAACGCGATAAAAGTCCCGATGCCCATGCCAATGTGTATCCGCTTCACCGTATGGACTTGTTCAAAGATACTATTTGGTTCTCGTTGTGGCTTTTGAGAAGGCTTGTTCGATCTGGGTTATTGTTACGTTAGAGCATGGTGCATTGGTTTTGTTCATGGTTGCGTTCGTTGAAGCGCTGGATACCCTTACGGGAGGAGGAAAAGACGTGCGATATGCTCACGAGCCTGCAACTTATACCCCACGCCTCACGTTTTATCGTACATGCGTGCGTTGTTTAGTCTCTCTCAATCTTTTGGGTCTATCACTTTAGTGGGCTAGGCATTGTTGAAGTATTGTTGGAGTCTTCCTTCCCTCCCACCCCCCCTTCCGGTGAATGGTTTATCGTCTTCTGCACATTAAATGCTTCATGACACGGTTCTCTTCGTTGTACTTGCTACTGTGCCCAGGGAGCCTTGGTGATGGTAATTTGAGCTGCCGTTGTACCACCTTCGGGGTCTCTCTTTTGATGCTGCCGCGAGGCTAGTGAACCGGTGCTTGGACCCGGAGGCACTCTGGAATACGAAATGCCAGGGACTGCAGGGGGCGGCATTCTGGTAGCTTGCGTCCAGGGTGCTACCGTAGCAGTGGCAGATGCCGCGTCTCCTGTCGCTGCTGACGCGATGGGCTGGTTCGCCATGTAAAGACTCTGCGTCGGTACGGGTGCAGAAGGATCAGCGTCCCACGAAAAAAGGGATCCAAACGGGAAATGCTGCACAACAGGAAATTTTGAAAGCACCTCCGCATTGTACATTTTTATCATGCCCTTGTTGATTTTACCCCATCCGTCTCGGATACCGGAGATGTCAAACAGAATGGGCGAATGCTCCCAAAACGGGCCCTTTTTCACATCATTGATGAAGCCAATGGCGGAGAAGTACATGTTGGTTTGGCGCTGATCGTCAATAACGGTAGATTTTGTAACATCAGAGGGTTTTGGCGCGCCTCTGACAGAGCCTTCGAGAGGCATGGGTTCCGTCTCGGTGGAGATGGGGCGAGTGAGCTGAGCAGAACCAAAGATGTAGGGAATGAAGGAGTGGTCGTCCAGGCCCCATACACCGTGAGAGCCAGCAGGTTCAAGTGTATATGTGAGTATAAGTTTGCGGACGACATTCAAGTAGCTGCGACGTGTTAGTTTCTCTGGGGAGGAGAAGGAATGGGGGAAAAAAAGAAAAAAAAAGGGGGGGGGGGAGAAGAAAGAAAGAAAACTGCACTTGAGCGCCCGCCCAGCCTTGAGGAGCGACGACGAGGAGCAGCAGAGGGAACGGGAACAAGGTGCACATACGGCTCAATCACGTTTCGGACAATTTCTCTCTCAATCGAACCGTCTGGTTTGCCGTCTCCGAAAACCCCCAATTTCCATAAACATCCCAGGAACGCAATGAAGCTTAGCTCATGGCCTGTTCCGTAGTCCAGTCGCTGGGGGTTCCCGAACGCGCCGAGCAGGTAGCTGCTTATTTCGTCCTTGGCTGTCACGCCGTCGCTGCCCGTGGTGGATAGCGCGTCCGCGAGGACAGCATCTTGCAGGAGGAGTGCATCGAGCTTTTCTTCCACCAATGCGTGCCACTTCCTGAAACTGACGTTGCCGAAGCGTCGGGGTCCAGGGTCGGGGGGTGCCTGCGCGACCAGCGAGTCAATGTCCGAGAGGAGTCGCTGGAGGGCTTGTATAGAGGGCGTGGAGGTTGGCGACCCCGCGATGAGGGGAAACTGAACGGGCGGCAGGGAGGAGTTGGCTTGGGTTCTGGGGCAGAGCGCGTGGTTGAGCTGCAAAATGAAGGTGCATATGTCGGCGTAGGCCCGCGTGGTGAGGAAGTGTTGGACGTGGTGGCCCTCGTTGATGCGTTTGGTAGGCTTGGCGAATATGTGAGCGTGGAGGTGGGACTTGGGAATTTGTTGTAGGGTAGGGAGAGGGGGCGGGGAATCGGGCGGTTTTGACGTCATTCTCTTGGTGTCGTGGCGGGCGGGTTTCTCTTGAGTATTGTTGCGATTTTATAGGAGAGGTGTGTTTCGGTTAAGTGGGCGTCTCGGGACTGTTGATGCGGTAATGTAGTTGATGGTGTAAGTCTCTCGGTGGGAATGAGATGGTAGGATCGTGGGGTTGAGGTTCAGAAGTAGTCGAGCACCCTTGGTTGTAATGGGACTTTAGTCAGCACAGCGCAGTGCTGTCCAATGCTGCGGCAAACCTTTGTGGATAGATGCCCTGCGGAAATTTCAAATCAGGCAGGTTGAAAATTCCACGTGAAGAATGGAAGAGTATAACCTTACTTTCTTCTTTCTTTTTTTAAATGCATAAATAAAACACGATAAATACTTCATCCTGTGAACAGATTAGATAAAGCTTGATATGGGAAGAGCAGGGATCACGAGTGGGGCACCACACCTAATTGGGAGAGCTCCATTGTCGCCTGGCCAACAGATGCGTCAGCGACGTCTGACAGCTTTGCCCGGGCGCTTTCATTATCTGCTGTCAGCTCGGAATTTCATTAGCAAGGTACATTTCTCTATCAAAACCACTTGCTGGTTCGATGAAGGATTGAGTACTTCTCGCGACACACCCGACACGGCATTCGACGCTCTTGAAAGATTGCCCAGCACGTCTGTGGTAGAAATGCCCGAAAATGGTCACAACAAGGAGCAGGGTAGTTGGACTGGTGGATGAGCGATCCTCCAGAGCTGCTGCCTCTTCAAATGAAAGTCGAAGCGGACGCAAGCGGAGGCGATCCGGGATTTTGGATGACGCGAATGAGGACGCTTATGCAGACTGTGCCCCTGAAGAACGGTCGTTTT